CTGAAGGAAATATGCAACACCACCTTAGCTTGAAGAGATTAAATAATTTTGCTTTTGCGCACTACTTGCTCCAAAACCTGGTTAAAACTGTCAAATTAGAACCACTCCTACTGGGCCATTTTGCTGGGAAGTCAAACGTGATTTATGATTTAAACTCCATTAGTATGCTGATAATTCACAGCAGTAAAAAATTATATACAGCATGATGGGAAATATTTAGTGTTAGAACTCTGCCCACAAGGAAACAGAAAGATACAATCCACTGTAACATCAAAGAGCCTTTCAGTCTGTAGTGGTTTTACCAGGCCAGGATCCTATATAATCCTCTGTGATTGTTGCTGCTGCTGTGAGCAAGCTAAATGGCCTCTCCATGCCCTTTGTTCCCTGTCTATAAACAAGAAAGGACTTAACCTTCTTCTGTGACTGCTTGAGGTCTGCAGATGAAAAGGAATCTATAAAAACATTTTTAAAGAGGAGGTCATAAGCTCTGTGAGTGGTTTAGTCCTCCAAACTCAGTCTCTTGAAACTTCACTGAGAAAAGTGAAGGTTCACACTCCTCAAGAAGTTTGCCCTGGGCAATGGAGATGGGAAGGGATCTCCTCCACTTGCAAATCTGTGGGGCTGCATGTATGCGTGTGCACTCATGCTCTTCATTCCTAGGAGGAGACCACTTCACTGCATGTCTCTTCTTTGAAGAATCTTGTAGTTTAACAGATGAGACAAACCGCACACAAAGGGTGATACAGGTGATGGATAAAAAGCTTGAGTTTGTCCCCTATAAAAAGACACTTTTGAAAGGTGCTATCTGAGGAAGCTGCTGGAAATTTAACATCTGCTTGGGTTCTTTGTTCCCTTGAGTAGGAAGCAGCAGCAGATGTGCTCTCTTTGTAGCTCTGCACTTCTTGGGGTTTCATCGAGATTCTCTTAAAGTCTGCATCTGATAGAGCAGTCAGCAATGTCATTAGTCTACATGGCTGCCTGCATGCAATTCCATGAGCAGTGATTTTTGTCATTGCCGTTATTGATTATCTTCTGCTATCATGTAATGTTGTGGCATGTCTTGGATCCTCCAAAACCAGCATGGACAAATTGTTCAGAATGAGCCACATTTAAGCTGGTAGCACTCCTGGATTACTGGTTTTCCACCTTGTTAGCCTATCACAAAAAATCACTCAGAATTTTCAATTAACATATTTACAAATAATCCTCACATAAAGAGAGAAGTATCCAAATCTGAAAGGTCACTCACCCTTGAAATCTGCACAATTAATTTTATATAGCTTGCTGTCAAAAACCACTTTTGTGTTCCTGAGACATGACCTGATACACTTGCTCTCTGAAGCCTGTTACCTTAAATAATAGTGCTCAATTAATAGATTTGTAAAGCAGCATTTCATACACTGATATATTGATTACATGTTATATGTTGTCACAAACACAGTAAATCTCTCAGCAGATAACACTGAAAGTTGTCCTGCATAGAATTAAGAGAGAAATGTCTAGGTGTTTATTTGCTTGGTATCACATATTGCATAAAACTCTGTACTCCTGTGTTAATGAGTACTGATCGAGACCAGAATACAAACAACTGTCTGTTGCAAAAAAAAAAGAGAAAAAACCCCTCAACACAAATTCATCACTTCAGACACTGATTTACATGTTTTATGCAGAATAATTTGTGTAACAATTACATAAATCAGAATTTTGACTGACTAGAAAAATGAATTGTGGCATAGCTCCATTGCTGATAAGAACATAGCTCTTGCATTTTGATCTGCTGTTTTTAATAGCAGTATTTTTGTAGACAAGACAATCATGCTATATAAGGATGGTCTAAGAGTAAATTAGAAAAAAATCCCAAACAGATAGGCTTGTATACCTGAAAGCTTTCCTATTTTTATCAATTCTACTTGTCAGTCTAAAAAGGCACCTTTCTACTAAACTTTTTTCCTGTTTGTGTTTATGTATTAAAATGTCTCTTTTTTTGCAAATATTTTCTGAATGTTTATTTGCTAAATGTTTGGGTTTTTTAATAATTCTGTCCTGTTTAACATAGTAACAAGAAAGATTAGATTAAAAAAAGAGATTAAATTAAGAAAAATGTGCTTTAGATTATTTTCAGAATACGCTTTTTATTCTTAGCACTCAGGAATATTCTGAAAATAAATGTTTGTGGTCTTCACCTACTAGTCATAGATAGTGAACATTACTTACCCTGTATGGGAATGATAAAATAACTAAAGCTGAAATAAATTTACAGAATATTAAACCAAATTCTTTGCTGGTTTAAGGCAGTGTTACCTCATTTACCTGAGAGCCATTTTACCTGTTTTCAAAAGAAAAACTTACATAACGTATGGAACCACTTATCTATGGAGGAAGGCTAGTATAAGATAAAGTGTCCAGTTGCTGCTGGCAAAAAATCAGCTGCTCAGTAGAAGTGATTTGAGCATGGGCTGCTGTCTAGGATAATTTTTCTAGTGGTAGTGCTCAGTTGCCTTCTTGTTGTGATTACCTAGCCCTTCTCCTCACAGAACAAGTGGACATTTTCTTGGATTCTGGCATTTAGATTGTGTCAGAAGCATAGCTGTCTTCTACAGTTTTCCCATCAATGGAAGCATAGATTTACGGTTAATGTAGCCACTCAAGTAAACAGACTTGAATCCCTTAAATCCCTCCCCATCTTGTGGATTAAACAACAAGGCCAAAATTCAGAACTGTGGATTAGTTTTCTATGGGATTGGCTGCACAATGGTAAGTGTTGAATTATTGGGAAGTTATTATTGGAGACTTAGTCCTTAAAAGGATAGTCAGAATCATGGCATTACAGGTAGGGACGTGAAAATAAATAAATATGTGGGGGAGGTTTCTTCAAAAGTAAAACGAATACAAGCGCAGCACATCCACTGTCAGTAATTTCCTCAGTCATCCCCAGGTAAGACCCTTTCAATGCTCATTCAAGTTTCATGCTCATTCAAGCTTGTCACTGGTGAGGGCATGGATCACCAGAACAGGGCTGCAGATGTTGTACACAGGTGCCCTTACTTTCTCTCACTCATCCTTGTAGCTAGAACATTTCATTGGTGAGATATGCTCAGAGCTACAGTACTAACTTGACAAGTTGTGTTGGTTTTACTTAGTGTACAGAATCTTTCCTGCATCTTTACTTATAGCCTTGGCTGGACTCTTCTTTCCCTAGGAATAAGCTATTTGTAGTCAGGTCTGTCCTTACCTGACTGTAAAGTTTGGCAGCCACTGGCCGAAACAGACATCTTTTCTCCTAGTTTAGAGTGTCCAACTGCCCTTAGCTTCATCACACATACTATACTTCCTCTTGTGTGGGATACTAACCATATAGAGTTTTTTTCTGATCTGGGGCTGTTGGTTCTGGGTGGGTTACTTTGGTCAGCTCTTCCCATGGAGAGGTCCTACAAGTTCCTTTCAGGGAGGATAAAAGTCTGAAGTTATGCAGACGTGGAACAAGGTTACAGTCTCAGAGTAAATTTATGAGAATATTTTCACTCCTTTGCTTTGGAGCTACCCTTTGGACTCTTAAGGCAAAGAGACAGGATTCCATTACTTGTGTGGAAAACTCCTCCACTCCTCTAATAAGTTTGCATTATTTTTACAATAGTTTTCCCAGTAGGTTCAAAACTCAAAAATATTTGTCTTTGTCCCTGTTGGCAATGAATGAGGCTCAGAATGAATCTTCATATGAGCAAATAAAAAAATTCTGGACTATAAACCGAACTATAACTTAATTGAATAATTATGTTTTCTATACTTTATTACTAATCATGCAAATGGTTAAGTATTTCTCTGTTCCAAAAATATTTCTAATATAAATGTCATATTGTTTGATGTTTTATACATCTAATCCTATCAAGGATACTCTCCTTGCTTATTCTTGGTGGATTGAAGACTTAATTTCAGTAATTGCCTGCATGCAGTATCATCCAACACAGAATTTAAGATTATCAAAATGAATTTTTTGATGATGTTTATTACATAAGATCTTGACAAACAAGTACGAAAAATGAAATTATCTTACTTTATTACCATTTTTTCCTCTGAAAACAGATGTATTCCTTATTTAAATTTTCTAAACTACTGAAGATTCTTCTGAACACAGGAACTGGAAACTTTTGAAGTTCTCAGGCTATGTTCTTCACTAAAAAGGAATTAAAAATTAGTTTAAGTGGCTACTATTTAATCTGTATCAGGGTTCTTTTCAAATGAAGTATTGGCCCTGTATCATGCATAGGAGAAGGTTGTTTATAAAGTTCACAAACTTGAGCAAAATCTTGCATAGCCGTAACAATACAACACGTTTAAAAATGTAGAAAATTACATGTCATATATAAATCACACACATTTCAAAATAGTCTTGCTTCTGAACAATTCCAGTATAATTTAATAAACATTTTCATAGACTTTGGGGACCAATTTTCCTTACTTTGTCTCGAGCAGCACCTTGTGAATGGAATAATAAACTATGAATGAAAAATGTGATTGAATACTGAACAGAAAATTAGAGCTATTATTAACGCAGTTTTCATAAGTTATATTCATGCTACTTTAGTGACACATGAAACTTAGAAGCTTCCAAGATTAAGAAAATGCATTCCTCAAATTTAATGAAATATCACCACTGGGCCTCCTCTTTCTCACACCACTGAAGAATTTCCTCTTTTTAGGAAGTTTGTCACATTTCTCAGTCATTTTTTAACACAGGACTGGTCCTTAAATTTCTTAAACTATTAAAATGATAGAAGTATTTACCATATTTTTCTCCATCTTACTTAAAATATAATTGATAAGTGTAAGATATACTTCATAATCTGATACCTGTGTGTTTGTTCTGCTTGAAAAGTTTGTGAAGCACAGTTGTATCAAAGAGCTTTAAATGGTAATTTTCCATGAGAGAAATATATTTTTCCTAGGAATTTTCTTAGTCACATTTTAAGAGAATAAATTACAAAACTGAATTAGTGCATAAATCAGAGAAAATATTTATTTACAGACATGTAAAAATTATGTTACAACATTTTAAAGAAAACTAATGAACCATCAATCTGCTCTATATGGGCAAACCCTGAATGTATTCATTCTAACTTGCAGTGGCACCTATTAAAAATATGACGGCTTACAAGATTGTAGCTATCTACATAGTTTAAGTACAATGATTTTTCAGAACTAAAAATGGATCTACAGAGAAAATGAATAAGAACTGCAACAATATTTAATACAAGAGTTTACAAAAGTAAAAATATTTTTTCTTGACCCAAACTTTAAAGCTTTAGTAAATATTTTCCATTCATGCAGCTGCACAGGTTTGAAACAAATATCTGAAATACACAGAGTGTATAGATCTGTGTAGAAAATGAATTGGTTTAATTCAGGACTGTCCATAAAGGATTTTATAAGACTGTTGACTATCCAAACCAATTGACAAGATCCTTTATGTTTCCTTTTCTTCTATATTGCAAGGGATGAGCAATGTTAAAAAAACCCCACAACTGACAAAACCTATGTAAAACAAATATAGGTAGTGATGGCAAACAACACTGAGCATACCGCACACATGAAAAGTAGAGAACTATCACTCTCTGTTGAAGCTACCAGCATCCTCTGTAGTAATTTGAAGCAAACATGCCATTAAAAAACTTTGCTAGTAATCAACCGCATGTCACAACAAGCTTCTGGCTTGCAAACGAAGTAGTGCCTCATGTCTTTTTGTGTTCAAAATATATTCAGGACTTAAGCTGTGGTGTGAAACAGTGTTGACATTATGATGGTGCAATCATTTCTGTGAATATATAATCTAAGCATAATAATTGGCAAGAGTTTGTAAAAATCTAATAGAGTGCTTTCTGTGGTTATTAGCTCATTTGGAATGGAGGTGGTGAAGAGATGATACACCTAGCTGTTTCTCATACACAGTTTATTAACACCAACATCAGAGCTGATCTCCTTGGATGACATTCTGCATCTTTTAAGTAAGCCAACATTTTACGTAATTGAAATGGGCAAAATGACTGTTAAGCTGATAAGGTTTAAAGTTCTTTTTTGTAACTGTCAGCCAAAGATATAGATCCCAAAATGTCATTAAAAAAATTATTTATTTTTACAATTAAAAATTATCATAACCTATACCAATAGAAAGAAAGTGGAGAAAAATTTCACCCTTTTGACTTGACCTAACATTTTACTTACACAGAAGTAATGTTTTTTTGCTGCACTTTTCTGGAAGAGGCAGCCTTGGTGGATTCTGAAGCTGTGATTCTTCGTGCTCAGGTGTAACTACTTATACTATTCTTTCCTTAATTAAGTAGCTAGGTACTACTCAGCACTTAGGTAAACCATGTAACTCCACAGACAATAGACAAGCTAAATATAAGATACACAAAAATAACTGATATGTGACATAGTCTCCTAGTGAAGTAAATTGCCACTCAGTAATAGATAATGAAATTCAAATATATGCTTTTCTTCCAAATGTTTGAAGAATATCAGTCCTTTGGTGATGTTACACATGCTGGAAACCTGATTGGGGACCTTGAGCTCCCATGTCCTCATACCCCCACTGTTTGAGGTGCATCTATCATCTCAGAAACTGCTGTTTTTTATAGAAATTGAAAGTCTGATCTATTAAAGAGTCTCCCTGATACCTTTATTTTTCTCTTGCTTTCAGCCTACAGGGAATGATTGAAAGGGCAAGGCAAGGGTTCATCTTTATTGTGCTGAATGATACCAAATGCCCATGGCCATGGATCTCAGTGGACATCAGGGCTCTGTGCTGCAGAGTGTCACACAGCTGGGTCTGAGCTCAACTTGACTATGTAAGGTACTTCTTAAATTAATGTCTCTTCCTCTTGGAAGGCCATAGCTATCAAATATTTTTTCCCCTGCAAACACTTTAAATATATGTATCTTTCTAGAAGAGTGTATCTTACATAAGGATGTAGATAAATAAATATTTATTCCTTGTTTCATGTAATCTGCAATGTTAAGGAGGTCTAGCTTTGGGATGGTGAAAAAGTTGGTACCTTCATTAGAGAAGATGACCTTGAGCCCATATCATATATGCTTTGATACCCTTAATATCTCAGTAACACAAGAGAAATAATACATCCATTCTGTTTGAAAGGAAACATGATTTATTAAGAAATTCTATACTGAGATTTCCCCCTACAACATTTGTAATAATTAATGATTCCAACTGCAAGCTTTTAGGAGGGTTTTAGGGGTTCACGAATGGAAAGACTACTTCCAGAAAGTAAACCGAAAAGTAATCAGTAGGATAACTCAGGTTGTCAGATATTGGCAGTCTATAAGTAGTTTACCTGGCTAGACAGTAGACTGACTGCTGTATAACCTTTCCATATCTTAACAACAAACTGCCTTTAGAGACTTGCAGGAACAGCTGTAACAACTGTCTAGTGAATGGCATCACAGAGGGTGCTTATCTAAAGAAAGGGATTTACAGGAGGACCCCATTTAGAGTTATCAAGGATTGCTCTCTCATTTTGACATTTTTATTTTTTAGTAGCTATCCCTATTAGTAAACATAATTACTTTCAGTGATTAATATAATAAATAAAATAATGGAAAATACCATACAATGTATTTAATTGTGATCATGTTTGAGTTAAGCTGTAAACAAATGAGTGCAATATCACCTGACTCTAAATATGGTAAAACAGTAAAACATGCTAATCATAAAAATAGCTTTTAGAAATATACATTTGTATACAGTGTTTACCACACCTGTTAAATATGTCCTTCATATTATTATGATACAGTACATTGGCCTTTAAGACATCAAAATTAAAAAAATAATACCAATAATTAGCCAGAGAAAAACACATTTACAATCTAAACCATAAAAATCTGACAATTGTACAGCTTAGAACATATAAGAAATGGAATTTCTAATATTTGAACAATAACGTCCATTTTAATAAGTAAACTGAGTTTTCATACAAATTGAATCAAATGTGTTTCTAGCCAGTAAGAAACCGCAGTTCACAATTTTCTGAGGGGGGAATCAGAGTTTATCTTCTCAGCCTTCAGGGGGTTTCCACATGACATCTCATCACTTGATCTGTAGAAACTGAGAAATGAAATGTTCACTTTAGTATGAAGGCACAGAATTTCCTCCAGCAGAACCTCAAAAGGAAGCCAAGACAACTGGAGAAAAGAGGGAAGAGGACTATGACTTGACTTTTTCATGGATCAATCAAATATTGATATCTATCAGGCTTTTCCACCTTAAACCTTTGAGTGCTAAAAGAAAAGTCATGTACCTGCAGCAGGAGACAATCAGGACTGCAACACTCCTAAATTAGACTGCATGGCCTGAGATAACCAGGCTGAATCAAGCAAGAACTATAGAGGTTGAAGTATATTTCCCCTCAGTAAAGGCTATGTGAACAACTGCTGAATAATTTCTATTTTAGCAGCAGAAAATAGAAGAATGTATCTTAGCTGCTTTGCAATTAAATGCTTTATTTGCATAATAACATTCAATCTAAATAAACTGGATGTAGGATTCTTTGCTTCAGTCCCATTGCACTATTTATATACCTTATTCCAGACCATTTATATTGACTGTGTGCTTTCAACGATGCTTATAGTCACCAGATTAATGGTTCTTTCCTCAGTGGCTTCCCTTTTGACATTGTCTATTTTATTGTTGTTCTTGTGTACATGCCAGAAGCATTAATTGCATATCCTTTGATTTCTTTTGTTGCTTTACTAGTCACAGCATGAAACAGCAAAAATCTAGTGTCAGCCAAGACTTTTTGGGGGCATTCTTCCAGTAGGCTGTATCTAAAAATCCAAGAGTCCTGCTATGCAACCCATTAATGCTATCAGCTTCAACCGTGTATTCAGTGATGCGGCAGGGGAGCATAAATCTTACCAGCTTCACCTACCCACAGAAAAACTGACACTTTCCCAATCACATCTGTTTGGAAAACTGACAGAAGAAAATGTTAACAGAAGTAGATGGTTTCTTTTTTTAAGTGAAATTTAAACCTAAGATTTTTTTTTTTTTTACTTTTGACAGGAAAAATATCTTTCAGCCAATTTCTTCTTCACTTTTTTTTTTTTTTTTTGATTGTATCATTTTCTATAACTGAAACTGAAAGCAACTGAGAAAACCTGGTGCACTTCTGATCAAAATCTGAAAAAAATTTTACATGTTCTTTTCAGCCAAGTTCCCCCTCCTTCAGTGAATTTTAAGTGTGTCTTTTTCCTTCCCAGAAAATAAAGGACACTTTCTGTTAAAATTTCCATTTATTGAAAGTCTGTTTTCCAATGCAAAATGTTTTATTAGAAACGTCAGAGTCCCTGCAGGACTGGCCTCTGCCCTTTAAAGCATTCAGCTATCACATCTCCCCCTCATTGCAAAGGGAGCACCAGATTTCTGATTGTATTCTTCACAGGTAACCAGGATTAGGGAGAAAAGCTCATGTGAGAGATCCTAGAGGGATCCTACTTCTTTCAGTTAAAATATCCTGAAACTATTATTCTCTGCTTGCATAGAGAAAAAACTTCATCACCTCTATTTTTAGCTCCTGATCCCTGGACAGATTTAGCTGAAAAAGCTAAAGTATGAAAAAATTTTTTAAATCCTCCCCTTAAGTTTGAGAAAGGCCTAATGATTGTTAAATAGTTATTCATTTTACAAGAAGTAAAAAAATACCACTGTACATCCTATTAGCTCTGGAAGGAGTTCCTCTTTTCTAGGCTTTTTTTCACCTATGCTTTGCTGTTCCATTATGCCATTATAAAAAGCAATAATTATGCAAGTAAGAACAGAGACAGATTTTCAAGTTATTTATTGAAGCTTTTTGCCTGCCATAAACCTTTCAAGCATTTACCTGTCACCAGCACTAAAATGCTTCATTATGCTACTATTAAGAACCGTTACTGCTAACCATCTGGATCCAAGTCTTCAATGGTGCTTTGCTGTTATTTAGAAACAATGATAAAAAATTTACCAACTCCACCAGTCCAAAATCTTGTGTTCTTCCTTCAGTACATGGTCTTGTTATTTGCCTCTTAGGGCAAATAATCTTAAAGACTGAGAAGAAACTTTTAAATCTGAAATAGTCAACTTTTTCTTTTCCATAGAATGACAGTAACCCAGGGCTATGATTTATCTAGTATAATGCAATACTAATTTTATTCTATTTCTTTTCTCTGAATAGTATGCAGTTTATCAGCTAGCTTTATGGTAGTGCTGATGATATTAAAAAACCTCATGATGACTAATGTTCTTTTTAATCTTTTCATTTCCCTCCTGTTATATATATAAAAAACATCCTGACACAACAAGGATGAACTGAATTACATTTAAGCTAGCAATATGGCTTTCATTTGATGTAGTTCTAACAGAAAACCACTTCAGAAAGTGTGATTTGAACATAATGCATTTTAAGAACTGAATATTCCAACTGAGCATATAGTCTTGGCAGTCATAGGCAATATCAAAGAAACAGTATATACTGTCCTAATTGCCATCATAATCTCAGAAAAAAAAAAAATAAAAAAAAAATCTGGAGATGGGTTATGGACAATTTATTGGTTCATTTTCCACCTGAAATTATTTCTGCTGTTTTTTCCCTATCTTGCTGGCTTTTTGAACATGAGCTATTGGAAACGGTCTTCTTAGGCATAACACTGTATTTCAGTCTTCCAGAAATGATATTGCTACTGTTATTATAGTTCCAGTATGATCCTTCCAGCATTTTTACCAGACTCAAATTATACTAGATTCAATTAATTTTAACTTTACACTATTACAATGTATATAACTTTGGAAAGCCAACATTAAATATTAAACACCTCACTAAATGAAAGTGCAGCTCTACTTAATGGGTCCCAAATGATAATCACTAAAAATGATGGAGTAAATCAGATAAAATTCAGTAAAAATCTCCAGAGCTTTCCATCTTGTCTTTTAGTGGTTTAATGGTTTTATCACTTATGTCCCTTCAAAGCCTAGATAATTCCAGTCTTTACATCTCTAGATCTTTAAGAATGTCCTGCATGTAAAGGGGGGACAGTCTGGCCATCAGATCACCTGCCAGATGATCAATTCCTCTAAGCTCTGTGCTTCATAGTCACGAAGCATGATGCAGTAGGAGTAGTTTGCGCCCTGTATTTTTCCTAAAAGCCTTTCTGAGAAAGCAATTTCAATATATGGTAGAGACCTGCAGACACGATTTTTTTTAGAATGAGGTGGGCCACATGCCCTCTCGCCAGCCTCTCCAGGCAGCTGGAAGCTGTAATGGTGACCACCACTTCTGTGACGGGGTGGGGGTAGGAGGGTGGGGGGGATGCTACTGCCTTTTCTAAACTAGTTCAGGTGGATTTTATTTATCTGTGGTAGGCATGAGTTTTGATCTCTGGTAGCTGTCCAAGCAGAGCTCAGCCTCTTCCCTGCTCTTGTATATTTATTTCTTCTTCCTTACAGTTCTGAAAAAGGGTAAAAACCAGGGGTTGATCCTTGTTCCCCATAAATACCTAGTTTCCTTCTCACAGAGTTTATGGTAAAAGTGTGCTAGACTTTCTTTACCATGCTCATCTTCCAGACCTAGATGTGCAGGAATAAATCTTACTATTTGAGAGCGTAAATTCAGCATATGTCCTTGGAAGGGAGTATTAGTAATGCACCATGACTAAATGACACAAAAGATATACATGATTAACATCTTTCCTTTTGGTTTAGAGAAATACCCCGCAGAATAAGGACGTTATAGAATTTACTGTATGGTTTACCACACAATAATTCTATGCAATAAGAGCATCCAACAAGTACATGCAAGATGTTAATCTGACAAAATATATGTGTTTTTAAGCAATCAACTGTGCTGAATGACTTTCTTGATAACATTAATCTTAAAATTCCCCCCAAAATACAGCTAAAGAGTGGATGGATAGATGACGGTGCATATATACAAATGAGCTTGAAACTCAAAGCCTCAAATATTCTTCCTCTTGCTCTCCTGTCTCTTTTTCCTTGTTAGACAAACCCATTCTCAGGACTGGAGTCCTGTGTTTAGCAGCTGTAAGGGAGTCAACTGAAGCTAATTCTGACCACTGCTTGGTTTCAGGTAAAATCGCATTTCTACTTCTGTCAGGCTCCTATTGAGTAGGAGGCTTGATGCCTGACACCTTCCCAGGGTGATGCTGCTGTCTGACTAGGCTTTGGCAGTGGGTTATGTGACTGCCATACACCTCTTTCTACAAAACAACTGCAAGCCCCATTAAAATGCAGCTGCTGCACTGTCCTTTCACTCACAACCCTGGCTCTCCTACTTTCACTACCTCAAACTGCAGTTGTAGTGTGATTGCTTTGATTGCATCTGATGCTCACTCCTATATTGTTAACTGCACAACTGAGAATACTGAACCCAGGTCCATGAATGTCACTATTGTGCCCTTTAGGATGGCAAACTCTGTTTCATTTCTAATAACTTTTTCTGATTATGGAATGTACTTTCTGGACAGCCAAGGAAGTAGAAAACTGAATCTGTGTGCAGAACAGACTTTTTTTTTTTTTTTTTAAATACACAAAATCTTGGTTAACCATTATTGATCTAGATAATTCCCTAAAATGAGAAAAGTCAGGATGCACTACAGAAAGAGTAGTGCAAATTGCCATTCTGTTTATTCTCTGTGTCAAACTCAAGACAATATCTTCCCTTTCTCTTAAACGGGCAGCTCACACTGAGTGCAAAACCCAGTAATTTATGTTTGCAAGGTACCATGGGGGCATGCGCTTCTATTGTCTTTTACACAGCATTCATCATCATGAACGGAAAACCACAAGCGAAAAAGCAGGCTTACCAAGAAACCTTGAATCTGTATGAGCTATCACATTAACTTCACAGCAGTGTTCATTTGAGATACACCTTGTGCTTTGTCCCTTGATTTAAAGCATGAAAACTCTGATTAAGTAACATGGTTATACAGGTGATTTAGTATAATGCCCCCATGCGATATGTGAATGCTCAGTTCAGTAGCTGTTAACAGGGGAACGTGAGTGTGTATTATGGGTTTGCTGCTGTCATTTGTAACACTTGTAAAACATGACAGACA